TGTAAGTTGGAATTTCATTGTTGTTTGACGTTTTGATAGGGGTATCTTATATGGGTTCAGATTTGTTAGTGCTATTGTTACAGTGTTTTTTTTTCATATTGGATTATTGCTTAGCATTTTTCAATATGTAGTAAGAGAGGGGTGGTCTTGTTGTATTAATGGGGTGTGGTGGGATTGCTGTAGTTGTTATTAGTAGTTTAAGTTGTTTGAGTGTGGATCTTTCATTGCTTCAGATATTGTTTTATTTTCGGGCAAGGTTGATAACATTTTATTTGTATTTATAGTGCTGAGGGAGTTTTTATCTTTTGATGTCTGGAATTATCTTTAATGTTTGATTAATTCTCGGATTTTTACAGTGAGAGAGTGTCTTGGTCTTTAGGAGAGATATTTTTGGTGTTATTTTTGTCATCGGATAAGCCATTTTTTTATAGTTTTGATCTTCATATTGTTCTATTATTTGTTCATATACATGAGTTCTTTGCTTTATTTTCAATTAATTTATTTGGTTTATTTCCTATTCTGACGGGAGTCTTTAAATTGTTTTTTTTTCTGTTGTGCGAATTGATCTATGGTTTGGACTCTATTTGCAATTAGATGTCTAATTCAGTTGTTGTTCCTCTTATCATTTTGTTTATTATCTGTTGCAGTTTTTAAGGGATACTTAGTGTAATGTAATCATTGGTATTTAATTTTTATACCCTTCACCTTCGTGAGAAGGGTATATATAAGTTTGTCATTCCGTTTGTAATTTCTATAATATAATTTTCCGACCCTATAAAGTATATATATTCTGGATCCTTATAGATAGCGGAGTCGATTAAGCCATGTCCGTCTGTCTGTCTGTTGAAATCAGTTTTTAGAGGACCCCAGATATCGGCGAGATCCGAAGCTTCAATAATTCTGTTAGACATGCTTTCGAGAAGATGGCTATTTAAAATCAGCAAAATCGGTCCATAAATGACGGAGATATAAGCAAAAATCCGAGACAACCTCTGAAAATTTCATAAAAAAATACATTTTTATACCCTACACCACTTTAGTGGGGAGGGTATATTGGATTTGTGCTGATGTTTGTAACATACAAAAATATTCGTCCTAGACCCACCTTAAAGTATACCAATCGGCTTAGAATCGTTTTCTGAGTCTATTAAGCTATGTCCGTCCGTCCGTCTGGCTGGCTGGCTGTCCATGTAAACCTTGTGCGCAAGGTACAGGTCGCAATTTTCAAGATAATTGGATGAAATTTGGCACGCACGTTTTATTTGACCCAAGGACGAAGCCTATTGAAAATGGTTAAAATCGGTCCATTATTTCACCTAGCCCCCATAGAGCAGAACCCCCCGAAAAGGGCTTCTGAGCTCATAATTATGTAAAATATACAGATATATCGATAAAATACGGCACAACTAAGTTTTATAGAAGTCTTGATGACCCTGCCAAATTTCATAAAGATCGGGCCCCATTTGACCCTAGCTCCCATACAAAGTCCCCTTCAGAAAATTACTTGAATGTCCCAAATTAACTTATAAACACAAATATCGCGATGAAATTCAGCACAATAAAATATTATGTAAATATAAATATACTCACAAAATTTTATCGGGCTTGGTCCATATTTGCCCCTAGCCCCCATATAAAGCCTCTCTCAGAAAATTAGTTTTTCATCCATAAATTGCTTAAATGTATCGGAACAAGGGAATGTTGAAGATAAATGCTTTATTATGAAAAATAAATCACATTTAATGTTCATAACTGGTATAGGGTATCATATGGTCGGCCACGCCCGACTATACTTTCTTACTTGTTTTTTCATGCTTTGGTATTTCGTTCCACATGTTTGGATGGCTGTGTGTTTCATTGGCATGTGTATATTGTTTTTGTTTCTTGGTGTATTCAGTTTCGTATGTTTGGATGTCTGTTGGTTTGATTGCTTTGTGTATTTTGTTTCTGTTTTTTTTTTTTCGAGTATTTCGTTTCGTATGTTTGGATGGCTGTGTGTTTCATTGGCATGTGTATATTGTTTTTGTTTCCTGGTGTATTCAGTTTCGTATGTTTGGATGTCTGTTGGTTTGATTGCTTTGTGTATTTTGTTTCTGTTTTTTTTTTTTTCGAGTATTTCGTTTCGTATGTTTGGATGGCTGTGTGTTTCATTGCCTTGTGTATATTGTTTTTGTTTGTTGGTGTACAGTTTCGTATGTTTGATGTCTGTTGGTTTCATTGCGTTGTGTATTTTGTTTTTGTTTTTTTGTGTATTTTGTTTTTGTTTTTTGTGTATTTCGTTTCGTATGTTTGGATGTCTGTTGGTTTTACTGCCTTGTGTGTTTTGTTTTTTGAGTGTTTATTTCGTTTAGCGTTGTTGTTGTTCATTTTGCTTTGCTATTGCTATAATAATGATATAATCGGGAAAATTAAATAGGTACATAAATTTAAATTTTATAAAATTTATATTTTTTAAATACACTATGGTGAAGGGTATATAAGATTCGGCACAGCCGAATATAGCACTCTTACTTGTTAAATCATTCTTTTTTTCAATATTTTGTGTTTTTTATATGTCACTCATTTTCTTCTCTTGCATCGTGGGTTTTAGAGGTTATTTGGTTGTATTATGGTGTTTTATTTGACTATTAGTGACTGATTGAATTGTTAGTCTTAGACATTTTGTTGAGACGTCTAAAATATTTTACTTTGGAGTTTTACTTGCGGATAGTGTGTTGTCATTGAATTGGTAAACGGAGTAGATTTTTTTTTTTTAGATATTTTTTTACAATTTTTGTTGTACTTACTTCTGATTACAATATTTGATTGTGAAGCTTGGTTTTAATGATATACAGTGTCTCTCATAATTATTCGAATTTGGGTAAACTATAAAAAGAAACCAAATTTAATAATATATTTTGTGTGCAAAATAAATAAATTAATTTGTTATATTGTCTAGATAGTCCTTATGTTTGATATCACGCTTTTTAAAACTTGAAAAATTTGTATTGACTTAAATTAATTGTGCTTTTTTAAAAAAAGTCCATGAAATTGCTTCACAAAAGTTTACGAATTTTTCCTTTATTTCATATTTGATCATATTATACGCAACACAAATTTTAGAATCGAATGGTTTTTATGCGTAATATTGTTTTAAGGGGTTACTATCCACGGAAAGGATATATTTTTGGCCCATTTGGTCCACAATTTTCGGGAATTTGTACCCTTTTTTCATGTAATATCATTAAAATAGCGATTTTTGACCATAATTGTAAATTTTTCTCCTTTTTCCAGAGATAAAACAAAAATTTGATATTGGGACTCAAAAGACCCCTTGGGGTATCTAAAAATAATATCTTTTGTTACAAGAATCTGTATTTAAACGTTCCAAGATAAATTATTCGGATCTTCTTCTTTCGCTAATTCAATATATTGGAACTTAAGTCCATTTTTATAATACTAGGATCAACTATTTTCGGGGAAAGTTTTCTGGTATATATTCTTTTAGATATCAGCTTTTATACATTTTAAGTTTTCAATGTGTTGTGGACGTGTACAACTCCAAAACATGCCTCGAAGAAACACCATTCAAAATAGTAAAATCATTATTTTTATATACCAATGGCCTCCATGCTGCATGGCACGATATCATTATGATCACATCAAAAATGTTGATATGTGTTTAAATATTATTTACTATGATCAAATTAAAACCAAAATTTAGGACTTACAGTGTTATTGTAACGGGCAACATAAGCGTGAAAGTTACGAGTAGTAAAAACTGAAATCTACTATATAGGATGACGTTTTGTTAAGGCATGTTTTGGGGTTGTATACCGCTATAATATATTGAAAATTTAAAATACATTAGTGCCAATATGTACATGAATATACACTAGACAACTTTGTCGGAAAATATCGTCCCTAGAGGTACGAAAAGGGACTTATGATCCAGATAATTCAATTAGAAACTGCAAAACGATAGCAAAAATACATCTTGGAACGTTTAAGTACAGATCCTTATAACAAAAAATATTATTTTAGATACCCTATGGTTTCTATTTAATTCCAATATTAAATTTTGGTTTTATCTCTGGAAAAAGGGTGAAAACATTACAAATATAGCCAAAAATCGCCATTTTAATGATATTACATGAAAAGAGGGTACAAATCCCCCAAAATTGTGGACCAAGTGGGTCAAAAATATATCCATGCGGTTGATAGTAACTCCTTAAAACCATATTAAGCATAAAACCATGCGATTCTAAAATGTGTGTATCGTATAATATGATCAAATATGAAATACAGGAAAAATTCGCATACTTTTGTGAAGTAGTTTCATGGACTTTTTTTAAAAAAAGCATAACTAATTTAAGTAAATGTAAAGTTTTCAAGTTTTAAGGGGCGTGATATCAAAACTAAAGACTATCTAGACAATATAACAAATTTATTTATTTATTTCCCACACAAAATATATTATTAAATTTGGTTTCTTTTCATAGTTTACCTAAATTCGAATACTTATGAGAGACACTGTACATGAACTTTCATTATTAATCTTTTAGCGTTTTGAGTTAGGATTTAAATTTTGGCGGTACAACTTTTAATATTTTTGTTTTTTTTTTATTTTTAATTATTTGTTATATGATTATATTTTTTATGAATAAATTCTTTTTTTTTTAAGTAGAAATTTGTAATCGGCTTTGCCGAAAATATAAAATTTATATTTTTTACAGAAAATTATTTAAGAATAATTAAATACAATATTAAATTAATTTACTATTTACATTTACAGATACGAAACCTTAAACTTATCAAAATATACATCATCGTCGCCCACATTTAGTCGCGCTGGAAGTCCATTAAATAATGATATACATGAAAATGGTATTAAATACTGGCATTTAGTTAAACATCACGATAACGACTTGCAAAAAGAAGGTGAACGTGTCAATAAACTAGTATCCGAAATTTATTTAACGCGTTTGCTAGCTACAAAAGGCACTTTACAGAAATTTGTTGATGATCTCTTCGAAACAATATTCAGCACAGCACATCGTGGTTCGGCATTGCCATTGGCAATTAAATATATGTTTGATTTTCTAGACGATCAAGCCTTATTGCACGGCATTACAGACCCAGAGGTTGTACATACATGGAAAAGCAATAGCTTACCGCTAAGGTATGTATAGTAAGCAGTATACTTTCATTAGGAAAATTCAAAGCTGGTTGCATATATATGTATGTCTTAGCTGTTGTTCTCAATATTAGTGTTTTAATTTTTAAGATTTTTTCGGAGTGCTCATCGATCTTTAAAGTAATAATGTAGCCGAAAAAGTATTTTTATAAATATTTCACAACGGCATATTTAGTTAATTTTAATGCTTGTACTACAAGTAATTACTTTTTTGCTAATATGTATGTATATTAAACCGACTCACAAAAAATGAATATATTCGAAGTTATGTTATATGATGTTACCCTAAATATTTTGGGTTTAGTGGTGGCCATTAGTGAGCTGGACTGTTTTCAAGAAAATATCCTATGAGGGACACGATTTTCAAGTTCAATTCAGTATTTTTTTTTATTAATTCTTCATTTACATATTCATTGATATTAAAATATGATTATGTATATCCAATAAAGAATAAAAGTATAAACCATATACATACATTCACAATAATGAAAACTGCCAAACATTAGCAGTATAACAGATTAAATTATATTTTATATAAATTACATGTGGAGAAAGGAAAACATTTCAAGGTGTCAATTCTTCCAGCTCCAATAATTTAAATTTGAATTGATCTATAGTAAAAATTTTCTTAAATCTCTAGGCAACCCGTTCCAAATTTTAGAAACTCTAATATGAAACGATTTTTGCAACAATATATGAAATATAAAATGAGTATTTCTGGTTGAATGGGAAAACCGAAACTAAAGTTAATACCTCTTCTACTATGTACTTATAAGGAATATCTATATATATTTTTAATTTGATGTCGGTTAAAAAAATAGAACTCTAGAGATCACCTAATATTTATTTAAAATTTCGTTTCAATATCCTCAATAGTTCACTAGAATTATTTTCAGAAAATGTTGAAAAATATTACAGAAAAAAGTAATTAAAAAAAATTCAGTTAAACGATTAATCAAAAATTTTGTATTTGAATCATCAAAATGTATAATCAAATACGTTTTTATCAACAACAAAATTAGAAACAAATAAAAATGTTTGAAATCAATCAAAAATGAAACTTCAATAAATAAAATAATTGAAAACGAGGTTTTGGTAATGAAATCGTCTTTCTGTGAATATAAAGAATTTTAAAATTATATTTTTAGTTAAATTTGTTTAAAAAATATGTCAAAAAAGTAATACACAGTTATAATATTTTTCTAATTAATAAAACTAATATTATTAATATCAAATTAATAAAATTAAAAATAAATATAAAAATATTCACTAATTTATTATTCACTTATCACAAATTTTTCTTTTGTTTTGAAATAATTCTTATTAAATATAAATAAACATAATTAAATATAAATAAACAAATAGTCAAAAATATAGTACAACAGTTATTTGAGAGCGAGAAACAAATACAATACAGTATTCAACTCAAAACCATAAGCAACTGGTATTGTTTTTGTGGATAGAGTGGATGAGCACAAGTTACAGTCATTCTCTCATTTATTTATAGTATTAGGTACTCACCATTGTGTATTTGTTTTACAAATGCTTTGTGGTGTACTACTGCACGCACGTCTTTAATACGTATCTAAAAATATTTAGAAGGGGTTTCATAAAAAGTAGCTTACAGGTGGAAGTATTTAAGATTCGGCATAGCCGAATATAGCGCTCTGTCTGGTTGTATTTAATTTTGAAAATTTTAAATGAAGTTCTTATATTAAAAATATAATTTGTTTTTTTATGATAAAGTTTGTTTGTTTGTTTTTTTACTATTTAAATTACCGTATGGTTCCTGACAGCTGATTCAGGGGTTCAAAATTCAACTTTTGACGTTCAATATGATGCAACCTGTTTTTAATCATTATTTATTGTTATTTACTTTAACATATCGTTTTATTTTACAGATTTTGGGTAAATCTCATTAAGAATCCTAACTTTGTATTTGATATACATAAATCAAATATAGTGGATTCCTGCCTATCAGTAGTAGCACAAACATTTATGGACTCTTGTTCTACATCAGACCATAGACTAGGTAACTCTGATTTTAAAGAAGTAAGATTGCTATATCCCAAAATATTTCTGTTCTAATTGTAGGTAAAGATTCACCAAGCTCAAAGCTGTTGTACGCTAAAGATATACCAGAATATCGTAAATGGGTTGATCGTTATTATCGTGATATCAGAGAAATGCCACCAATATCTGATCAAGATATGAATGCAATGTTAGCTGAAGAGTCAAGGGTAAATATTTTATTATATACATACATACAACAATGAATTGTTCATTTTAACCACATCATCTTAATATCGAAATTTTTTATCTTACCATTCACAATATGTGGCTTCAAATATAAATTTTAATTATCTTTTCTTTTTTTGTAGCTTCACACATCGGAATTTAATACGAATTGTGCCCTCCATGAACTTTATACATATGTAGTGAAATATAACGAACAATTAACCGTAACACTGGAAGAAGACGAATTTTCCCAAAAGCAACGACTTGCCTACAAACTAGAACAAGTACACAATATTATGTCAGCGGAATAATAAGAATTTTCTTATATGAATATCAAATCAAGAACGAAGGGAGGGGGGAAGATAAATACTAATATTTGTAATCATAATATAATTAAAGGAAAAACAAAAAAGGATAAAATATGGGTGTTCAAGAAAACTGAAAAACATAAAAATATTATGTACTACTTAGTAATTAAATACATATAGGTTGGTATGATTTTATAACATCTTTTAAACATTTTAGATAGATAGCCTTACAGAACAATTGCAAAGAAATTAATTTTAGTTAGTTAGATTTAAACCAACCAAACATACCTTTTATCAGTGGGTTTATTTAATTTGTACTGGAAATATTTTCATTTGCAGTTTCACTAAAAAAACAAATACATTTATACTAAAGTAATTTACGAACAAAAAGTGTATAAACATAAGCAAAGATGTTGATAAATTTTCATTTCTTTAAAACTATAAATCATTTGTAAAAAGTATCCATAAAAACACACAGCATTTATTTATCTTTGTCTATTTTGTCTCTTTCAATATGTGAAACTGGGGCCTTATAATATTTGACCTAAAATATCATACAAACTATATGATGACATAATGCTCCCCGTTTGTTGATTTGCATAAAATATCCCAGCAAATTCATATACATACATATGTACATTAGGGTATTTTCTTTTATTATATTTTCGATTTCAAAGGAGTGCCGGTCGGATTAATGTGGTATAAAGTTGAAGTGCTAAAAGGATTATTTGCCAGTTTTCTAAAAATTTACCTAAAATGAAACTTTAAATTTATGTAAATTTTTTTGCAAACTCATTTTTTCAGTTATAAAATGTTTATGATGAAATTGGCTGTTCGTCGTTTGATTAAGTGTATATAACTATGTTAAAAATATTTGAACCTAGTAAGAAGTATAATCACAGTAATATGAATCCCATATAATTTTGTTGTTGTATAAATATGTAACTTAATGTGTTCAATTTTATTTATATTAAAAGAAGTTGCGCATTCTTATTAGAATTATAAATATGAGATTGCGTATGAGTTTATGATTGTAACGGCAAAATAAGTCGGTCCTTCATCAAGTCTATGAATGTCGTTTAGAATAAATTACTGACGCAATTTGAACTTTGGAGCAAAGTACGTGCACTCTAATTAATCCATGCCTCATTTTACGAAGTAAAATCCTAACTACTCGAAATCTGAATGTTAATTATGATATAGAAAGAATTACGCTTTATTTTTGGTTTATATAAATTATAAATATTCAAAATATATTAAGATTTAAGAGTCAGAAAGTGATATTAGTAGCATTTTATCAATACATCGACATAATCAAAGACATTTTTTGAGATTTATAACTATTGGAATATGCATTTATTTACAAGACTTATAATAACTACTACTTTACTAAAAATTCCATTAAAAACAAATATTTTCCCGTTTTCTCCATTTGTTTGAGTTATCAAAAAGCTTGTTATTTAAAATTTTAAGTCTGTAGATCTCTTTTATACAAATGAACACATAATTCCCATTTTTATACATTTAAATGTTGAAACTTATGCATATTAAAGCTTGACAAAGATATTGGGAGGTAGGACAAATATGAAGGGAGAGTCTTACTGTTAGTTTGTTCCATATACGAGCGAATGAATTTCCGCTGTAGTAAGTTGTGCGATCTACTGGCAAATTGACCACAATAGGATGTGTTCCTGATGAAAAACATTTGTTACATATAAATCGAATAAGGGGACCAATTCCTTGATTTCACCTCTCACTTTTTGATGGTGCTCTTTGAAACGAAATTCAGTGATAAGTATGTAAATTTTGGAAGCGCTAATACTAACGTTGTCTCCAGCATTCTATTTTTCGCTTCACTTTTTCACAATTTGTTTGATTTCTTAGTAGAAAAACTTCGGCATAAATCTATCTAGATGATTTCATTTTCAGAATAGGTTTTAATTATGATAAATGACAATTCTGACTTTGATTTTGAAACAACCCTTAACTTTATTTTGATGTCAACTTCATACATGTGTGTACATAATTGTGTTTTTTTTTTTTTTTTTTAAATTTCAATCAATGCGGAATGAATTACGGCACGTAATATAAAATTGCTGAGCTGTTATTTGAATAAATCGGATTACATTAACACATGCCGCAAATGTTTTTATATTTAGACGAAAATTTATAAGAGCTGTGTGCGTTATAAACAGTGTTCTATAATATGTTGTCCTTTAAATTAATGATTAATGTTAAGTGTAATAAATAAATATATATTATTTTCAATATTCCAAAAGATAGTTTATGTAAAAGTTTTTTAGGTGACGATTAAACTGTAAATAATAATCTTATTGGCCAATCTAAAAATACATTTAATATATCATCAGTTTTCTAATGTCGTAGAGTTTATGTTTTAACTTTGTAGTTTTTTCGTACACAGCAGCTGATAATATGAATATTTGCTATGAAAACCATAAATATTTTGTGAAGAAGACTGTTCATATACATATGTCGAATGTTCTTAAAATTGACATAAATTGGAAAGTTTCACTATGTATTCAATTCATATATTTATGTCGTTATAATCGTTATAATCCATAAAGAATTAAGAAATAAGTAATGTAAAATAAGGGGAAATTGCACTTTATAGTTTGCATTGTGTCTGAATCAAACTGAATTTTACTTCATCTCACCTTTGTTTGATAGCTAACTTATAAGTCCATATTTGTTATAATTTTTCCCATAAATATACTTTTCTTTGATAAATAATATAATATATATACAGTGGTCGACAAAACAATGGAAACTTTTTCAAATATATCAGAAATGGTCCAAATTCTTTCTTCTTTTACAGAAAAGAAGACTATTACTAAAAAATATTCAAAATAACCGTGTAAAAGCATAGTGATTTACCGTTATTTCAAGGTATTCTTCATTTTGATAATTTAAAAAAAAATCTTTGTAATTTTTTAGCAAAATTAATTTTTTATATTATCAATTATAATGGCTAGAGTTAAGATTTAATATATTTTTATATTTTCTTTTAATATTTTACCTAATATTTGTTGATCTGCGATAAATATTTAATGAATAAATCAACACTTTCAAAAATATTAAAAGTAAGAGTGCTATATTCGGCTATGCCGAATGTAATATACCCACCATCAAACATTATGCCGTAAAAGGAATGCTCTCCTATAAATATCAGATTAACTAAAGAGGACCTGATATGAGATGAATTATTCACCGTTTTTCAAAAAATTTTTCATAATTTTTTTTAGACCGATTTTGGTTCATATATAACATGTTTACATCGAATATCAGTTCCCGACACTTTCCGCATTAAATTCTGTAGGAAGATTTAAGTTCCTATAAAAGTTTCTTAGGTTTTGGCTCGTAGGAAACCTACTTATGTCAAACTTCATATCTACACTCGTACTTTAAAGGCAGTAATGAGCATTAAAGTAATTACCTGGGTAGGGTCAATTATGCTCGTAAGAAACTTACTTATGTCAAATTTCATTGCTATACTCGAATTTTTAAGCCAGTAATGAGCGTTAAAGTCGGTTTTTGAAGGGGACCTTATATGGGGGGTAGGGTCAATTATGGACCGATCCTCAAAAAATTTGGATCATATGAAACCATTTTCAATATCTTATCGATAGAGAATATTTGTGGAAAATTTCAACCCTCTAGCTCATTTCATACGGACTCTATCGTGCTTTCAACAGACATCTTTTTTGATGGTGGGTATAAAAACAACATATGAGTTGAAAACCTTGTAAAACTGCTCTAATACAGGATAATTTGATGACAATAGAATTCGAAAAATTCCAAAAAAATACTCCTCAGGGGTAATTATTATTATAAAGTTCGTAATTAGTACTCCTATGGTAAGTCACATGGAAAATGAAACTGGTCTTGGCTGTAGTCACCCTGCGAGAAAATCTCTTAGTTTTAGAAAGAATCGTTCTACTCGTCTACTATTTGCCAAAGATAACATAAACTGGTCGAATCAATATGAAATACTGTTTTTTTTTTTTTTTTTTGGACGTGTCCCAATTCAATTTTAGAGGACATTTGTAAGGCGGCCAAAAGGGAAATTTACTGGACCCAAAGAATATTATGTTCAGCAGTGGCAAAATTATGGTATAGAACTATTTTTCAGGGCAAGGTATTGGTGGAATTCAATTACAAAATGATACTATGTGTGGTAAAAGATAGAGATCCATTTAAAAAAACAAAGTATTCCTCCGCTGTGGAAACTAGGGCCCTAAAAGCCAACTTTTGAGTTGTAATCGAGTGGTTAGACTCGAAAGTGATACCTATATTGAAGTGGCCTGCCTATTCACTAGATCTCAACCTCATAAAAAATCTATGGGAAACAGTAGTTAGAAGATATGAATAGAAAAATCAGGTGTAATGGAAGGACGATTTTTAGGATGCGGTTATAAGCAATTAGCTAAATTATTCAAACAAATTTTTTTACTCAATTATTGTTCCAATGTAAAAAGTAAAGGATACCCAACTATATTCTGAGTTACTGACAAGTTCTGACCGTTTTTGTTACGATAACACCAAAGTTTCCATTGTTTTGTCAGTAATAGAAAACCAAATACTTTAATCTTGTTTTATTTTTTCAAAATTTAATTATTTTCATAGATTTTTATTAAGTTTATAAGGATATAAAAAAAGAAATACTAAAAAAATTAAATTTTTTTAATAAATTTTTCGGTTTTTTTGTGATTATATAGAAAAAGTTTCCATTGTTGTGTCGCCCAAAACCGGTAATTTTTCAAAATTTATGACACGATATCTCGAAAACCCGATGTGATAAACCCTAGTGAATTCACCAAATTCTATGAGGATCGAACCATATTTGACTCTAGTCGTTATATAAATCCTCCTTCAAAAATCAGCTTGACGTCAACAATTTCCTTGAATATATTGGCATGATTATTTATGAAAAATATTGCTCTATCACACTCTGTAGAGTTTGTCTAATCGTCATAGATTTAATATCGATTTTGTCATAAAATAAAATTAATTCCGTGAGAATTTTAATTTTAAATTACTGATTATGTTCAGCTCCAACAAGATTCCCAAGATTTTATATAATATAAAACAAAAAATATTCAATTTTATTTTATTTATACTTACTTTTTTAAGTTTTTGACTTCTCGATTATTTTATTTTGGTTCAACTTTGAGAAAGGAATCAAAATTATGGAGGTATCTAAATATACAATTTTGCACTCACAGCTCTCTTCTTTTTTATAAAACATCCATTGTTTTGATAGCAAATAGATACATTTTATGTTGTTGTAAATGGCAATACTACAAAATTGAAACTAGAACTTAAAAACAGTAGATTTAATTTAACATAAATTAATCACATTTATTAGGAGCTTATTCTTAACTTTAAACTGGTTCTTAATTTAAAAACAAAAAATTTACAATGACTTTTTTTAAATTTAAAGCCGATGCTTCGTCGGATAACATCCGATTTATCTCAATCTATACACCTTAAAATTCGAAAACAGTAAAAAATCTGTAATACAAATTAATAATAATAAATTTATCCAAGAAAGTTTATTAAAAATCCAATTTAAAAACTTCACAAAAGCTGTAGTTTTTATTCGTATATTTTTGTCCATGTGCAGTAATATTTTTTAGCTTATTTTGCTTTTTACAGAAAAATTCATTCATATTATTAAGGATAATTCAACAAACGACTTTATTAAATGTTCGCCTTTGCAGATTTATACCGAATGTCAAATAACTTTGACCTGCACTCCTTAAAATTAAAAAGAAGAAAAAACCTTATATACTTATGTACATCATATTTGAATGGCACATTTACATTTAGTGAGGTTTTAATATTTTTAAGGAAAGTAATCATAATATATAAATCTAATTATATAATTATATACCAAAAAAAAAAAAAAAGAAAAATTAAAAATTATGTGTGAAAAATTATATGTGCATACTAAATATATATATTCATCGAAATTTATTTAACAAATTTATTTTTCAATATTTTGTCATAATTGTGCATTATTTCAATCAATTTGTCAATGGATAGTTTCTTTTTTTAGGTTCAGATGTTTGTCGTGATTCCAGAAAATTCGTACTAGTATTTTGGAAATTTAGAAACGTTTGAGTTTACTAAGATAGAGATAAATATGAATGTATGTATGTAGTATAATGCAAAAACATCCTTAACAAAACAGGAAAATATTAAAAACGAGAGTGCTATATTCGGCTGTGCCGAATCTTAAATACCATTCAACATATTGTTTTAATTTATTTAAATTTTTTCTAAATTTTAAAATGTTTTCTTTTTGAAAATTTTAAATCTTTTTTAATAAAAATATTTTAATTTTTTAAAAGTTTGTTCTATTATTTTTATTTTTTTTAATTTAAATTTTCTCAAACAAGCGATATAAAAAAAGATTTATTTTTGTTAGCAATTGTTTTTTGTTAGCTAAAACTATACAAAAATTTAGTGGGTATCATGGGGAGCATGACCACATGCTGGACATTCGTTAGGGACGGCACGGTCTATGCGTTACTAGTAGACATTACGCCTGTAACTCCATCCGGATATTAGTTGTCTGGTCTGCAGCTTATGTCCCTAAAATCTACGAACTGGAAACCACTCAGATAATTTTCGTTTTGTTAGGCATTGTGGATAGTAGAATGTCTTCGAAGAGTGTGGCATGCCTGACACTGTCGAAGGCTTTTGGCAGATAAAGTGCAACTCGAACGTCCATTTACAGGGCCTCGGCTAATTTAAGCCTTGTGGAATCTGAGAGGCAATGACGGTAAATGCTGTGGTGGTGCTGTGCATTTTGCGGAAACCATGCTGGCATCAAATCAATTTCTTTCTTAAAAATTTAAAGAAAAATTCTGAAATGTGGGAACAACCACAACTGTTTCATTTAAATTGGCGAAATGAACTGAGCTTTCAGCTCTTTGTTTTCCCCTTAAAAATGACAAACATCTATAAATGCGACACGCGCTCATATTCTATTTCATTAACCTTTATTCTAAATACTTCATCTTCCAAAAGTTCCCGTATTTGGGGCCCTACCTTTGTAGGGCCTCTTTGTTAGGACTTCTTGCTAATTTTGGTACTTATAGTGAAGATTTCCTTGACGATACGTATTTAGGAGGCTTATTAAATCATATTTTTGAAACCCACAAATTTTCTTGCAAATAAATTAAAAAAAAAAAAAATAATACTTTTGTCATTTTATAACCATTTTTTGGTCGATCATTCATGGACTAAATA